TGAGACAGTGTAAGAGGACCTCAGCCATGGGGTGACATAGCAGCCAGACAGGCCCAGGAGACTGGCACCAGGGACTCTAGGAGGTTGTTCCCCTGCAGGGCCCAGGAAGGGACCTAGACCATTAGCAGTGGCCAGCCCTGCAGCATGCTTGGGAGTTCAGAGGCAGACCTGTTGTCCACTCTGCACAAAGCCAGCCCTGCCAGGCATCCTGTTGCTCTAGACAGTGACCACATGCTCCCCAGAAAGCTGTCGCCATCTGCATGCCCTCCAGCTCACACCACGCCCCCACCTCCCCACCTCCTATGTGCGTGCGGCAGATCATCCCTGTCCTGGTCACTTTAATTTGCCTTTTCCCCAGCGCATTATTGGGCGAGTCTCTCCCTAACTGGATCAGTGATGGGAAAATTGGATCAGGGTGCGCACATCACTGCCCCATTCTAATCATGTGAATGTCAGAGGCCTCTGGGCATGGGCGCCTGCTGTTTCCAAAGTCTCATCTTTGAAAAGCAGGTAGAGAGCTTTGGGCTTTATTGAATTTGCATTTATGTATGTGATGCATTTGATTGTAGCCGGAGGGCAGCTGCCTAGCCCAATAGTGAATTTGGCCCATCAACAGGGTTGAAACCTACTTACCTGTAAGAAACTATTTGTTCCAGGGAGGTAGGGTTGTCTTCAGTGGGTGATGTTTTCCTTGAAAGGCCTTTTGAACACTGGGAGTGACTTCGATGGGGAAGCCCTGCTTGCTGTCTTTGGCCCCCCAGCTCCACTTCTAGGGTCTTGTAGTAGAGAATCATGGGCACCAGGGGGCAAGGGTAGACATGCATGAACATTAATTGCACCACTGCCATGACTGGTTTAAATTAAAAAGCAAGCACCCCAGATGTTTACCAACAAGTAGCTGGTTAAATAAACTGGGGCACAGTGCGCAGTGAGAAACTTGAACGCTATTCAAAGGAACAAGGGAGAGCTGGGTGTGCGGTCGGTGGAGGTGTCCAGATAAAGGTGGAAAGGCCACTGGCAAGTGTACAGTAGGCCACGTAGAAAGTAGTGGCACCTCAAGAAATTACACAGAACTGCAATTCAGTGATCCAGTCCTTCTGCTTCTGGTATAAATCTGAAAGACCTGAAAGTAGGCATTTGAACAGACACCTGTACAGCAATGTTCATAGCAGTGTCTGCACACCAGTCAAGCGTCCATCCAGGATGAATAAACAAAATGTGGTCTATACACACAGAATATTATGCAGACTTAAAAAGGAAGGACATCCTGACACGCCGGCTATGCGTGGATGAAGCCGGAGGACCTCATGCTCAGTGAGATAAGCCAGACACAAAAGGACAAATCCTGCAGGATTCCCCTTATTCAAGGGACCTAGAGTCATTGAAGTTATAGACACAGAGCACAGAGCGGAGGGCGGGGGCCAGAGGCCGGGTGAGGGGATGGGGAGTGAGTGTGTAATAGGGACAGATGTCAGTTTGGGAAGATGGAAGGTTCTGGAGATGATGGTGGGGACGGCTGCGCAACAGTGTGAATGCGCCTAAACCCCCTGAGCTGTGCACTTACAAATGGAGAAGGTGGTAAATTGCGTGTTATGCAGTAAGCATAATAAACAAATACATGAATAATACACAGAATTTTTTAAAAGTCTTTAAGCGCAACCCCTCGGCACTACACAGCTCACTTCCTGCTTCCATGGGCTAGAAAGCTAGATTTTTCCTGCCATGAGTTGCTCCCTGGGCTGAGGGGCAGTGCCCTCAGCTGTCCCGCGGCCTGGGTAGTGGCCTGGCCTGCCTGTCTGGCTCAGGTCACCCCTGCCCCCGGCCCCAGTACCCCTGTTTGCTTCAGTCTGGGGGTGGGGAGCCCGCTGGAGCTGGCCTCACGTGGCAGAGGTAATGGGGGATTACAGCGTGCAGAGGATGACAGCGTCAGGGGGATGCAGAGAAGCAAAGGGCTTATTAAAACGCTGAAATTGGTTCCAAATGAGGTCAGCCGTCGGAGCGCCTTGGAGGAGAGCCAGGCACGGGGCAGTGAACAATGTTTGTTTTCTGACAGGGTAGTGGCAATGCCCTGGGTGCCACCCCCCACCCCCGCCCCCCACCTTTGGAGAGTGAATTGTTCCCAAAACACCAGGCAGAGCCAGGCAGGGGTGGGAGCAGGGCCAGGACACAGACCCTCACTACCCCAAGGGCACCGAGGAGGGGGCTTCCCAGCTCAGCACCTGAGGTGTCCACAGGGCACCTGGAGCGGGCAGGTGTGTCACCTGATACTGGCTGGGACAGGCGGATGGCAGAGGGCTGCTTCCTTACCCTAGTCTGATTGCTTGCTTAAAAAAAAATCCTTTAATGTAAGGACTGGTACTTTGCAGCAGAGGCCACTCGGTTGGCCCATGTCCCCCACCCCCTGAGCCATGGGCGGTGCATCTTCTCCCTGTGTCCCCTCCTCCTGACCCCAGGGGTGGTTCCATGACCTTTGCTGCCTCTGGGTGCATCACTCAACCCTCTGTCAAGAGGTCCTTGACTTGGGTGCCAGGCCTGGTCTGTCCCCAACAGCTTAACCTCTGAGTCTCGGAGCTCTATCTCCTCATGGTTGAGCACAGCCCCAGCCCCGGCCCCCCAAGGCTGGGGAGGGTGAAGTGAGATAAGGCAGCAGTGGGCTGGGCACTGACACACTGTGTCTCCTATTGATCACCAGGACTTGCTAATCATTATTTCTGAAATCCGTGGGCTCAGTTTTGTCAACTGTGAGAAGAAGCCCGGCATGCAGCCCAGCTCGGAGCTGGAGAAAGAGAATGTCTTCTGAAACCTGTTCAAAATAAACATGTGTACATAGCACTTAGCTGCCCAGGGTCACGCGGCTGGGGCTGACACCCCATCCCAGGGCTCCCGACCCCGACCTGAGCGAGCCCCTACTTCCAGGCCTCAGTCCTTCTTACTCCCCAGAACCACTTGGTTGAAGGGAGTCAGAGGGGTCAGTCATGGTCCCTGTCCCACTCTCTAGCTGGGGTGGGGATCTGGCGGGAAAGCACTTCTCCCCGGACACCGGCTGGGACTCGACACGATGTGAACCCAGAGCTCTGCGCCCTGTAAGGCGCACCGCGCAGGCCGGGGGGTGTCTCCACACTCCAGAGGGGAGCTGGTATGCTCTCTGCCTGGCTTCAGGACGGGGCACCCGGAAGCCCATGAGGCCAGGCAGGGGGCTTGCCCAGAGCCCCTTCACTCCCACTTAGCCTGTGCTGGCTTTTGTCACCATGTGCCCAGCCGAGGAGTCTGTTCATCCCAATGCCAGGGCCACTCCCTGATCCTGAAGGGCGGGTGTCCAGGGTGCTTGGTGATCTTGAACGCCGGATGCCTGCTTTGCTCACTGATAAAGAGGTTTGGGAAATCATTTGGAGAGCGAGGGCAGCTCCCTCTCGGGTGAGGCCTTTGAGCCTCGCCTCAAGCCCCCAGTCTTCCGTGCCAGGCAGCTTTGGGACGATCCTGTAGCCTGACTCGCCCACTGCCGGGCTCCTCCGCAGGTTCTGTGTCCCAGCAGCCTGCCTGCTGCCCTGCGGGACCCCTGGGGTTCCAAGTTCTCACTGGAGCCCCGTGGCTGTGACCTCTGGCTCCACGGAGCCTGCTTTCCTGGCCATTATCTTCCTACACTGTCGCTCCCTCCCAGGAGGATGGGCCCGGGGTGCCCTTTCCTGGCTAATTCCTGTTCGCTCACTCAGCCCTTTATCTGGCCCCAGCCTGGACCTGGGGAGACAGCCAGTGAGGGGTACCAGTGATGCACCCTGTGCCCCAGGGGTTTGTGCACTTAGCTCTCACCTGTCTGAACCTGCAGGCTGGTGAATGTGGCCCCCAGCTGACAGGGGTAGGGAGGGGTGGCGTTTTGTGGCATCTTTCTTCTGCCTGGTTTGCAGGGCAGCCTGGCTTCTGGGAGGCAAAGAGCACCCCCCGCAGGGCCAGGGCAGGGCTGGATCTTTCTCCAGATTGCATCTTCAGGCAGACACAGTCGTTCCTTCCTGAGGAAGAGAGCTCAGAGCAAAACCAGTCCGGCCGGCCCGTGTGTGGAGTTGAGGACCTAAAGTTGGGAGCCAGCCGGTGATGTCAGTCACTGCGTTCCTATGGTAGGGTTCTGGGTTTCTCCAAAGAGGGGAGGAGGGAGAGAGGGAAGGAGCTAAGCGTTGGAGGAGAGAGCCAAGTTCAGAGCAGAGGGTAATCAGGGAGAGCTTCCTGGAAGTGACAGCACAAGTGGAGTCTGCTCTGCTCAGAGACGGATGGAGTGAGGCAGACAACCACCCCTCAGCAAGACACCGCGAAGGCTGCCACAGCCATGCACCTGGGCCATCTGTGTCTGCCCCCAACAATGCACCCACTCCTTCTGGAGCAGCCCTGGCACCAGATGGAGCCTGTGGGGGAAACAGGAGACAGGAGTGGGAACAGCAGGCCACGGAGAGCGTGTCTCTGCACAGCAATGATCTGGGGACTGTCTTCTATTTTTAGTTTGAAAGTGACCCACCCGCCAGCATTGTAGGATCTGCTCACTGGGCCAGGCACATAGCAGCAAGGTCTCGTTACTCACTGGACATCTGGAAACAACCTCCTGGGGCCTCATTCTGCCCATCCATGGATGGGGAGGCATGGCACCTGTCCTGCCAGCTGCTCAGAGACCGGACCAGACAGCCCGCCTGCTAGTTAGCCCTTTGCCTGACCAGAGGACATCTGAAAGGCCTTGGGCTGCGGGGAGGGCCTGCTTTCTGGACAGCTCTTCAGAGACGACTCAGAGGGGGTGAAATCAGCCCGTCTACTTCAATTCCCACTGATGCTGTCCGTGTGTCATTAGTGCCAATTATGAGAGCAAGGGACGCAAAGCATTTGGCCCAGGGCACAGGCTGGTGGGAGGGTCACTGGGACAATTGAATTCCCCACCAGACAAATGTGATTACTGGTGGGGCCTGGGCCCACGCCCTGGAGGGCCAGGACATAAGTGGCCAGGCGGGTGGCCAAGCTCACCAGTCATGCAGGTCCCCAGCCCCACCGTGCGAGAGGCGGCCTCCATGTATGGCACAGCGGTGGCCATCTTCCTGGTCATCCTGGTGGCCGCCCTCCAGGGCTCAGCACCCGCTGAGAGCCCCTTCCCCTACCGCATCCCCCTGGACCCCGGGGGGGCCCTGGAGCTCTCCTGGAATGTCAGCTACGTGCAGGAGACTGTCCACTTCCAGCTCCTGGTGCGGGAGCTCAAGGCTGGGGTCCTGTTCGGGATGTCGGACCGCGGCGAATTGGAGAATGCTGACCTCATAGTGCTCTGGACCGATGGAGACAGTGCCTACTTTGGGGTGAGTCTTTCCCTGCCCCAGTCCCCCACTGGGCCTTCTTTGACCTGCAGTCACCCTCCTTAACCCAGCAAAGGAAGTTTCCCTCCCATCTCTTGGCTTGCATTTGCTGTAATCTTATCCATGTCTGTGTCCCAGGTTTGGGCATCTCAGGGACACCAATTTGAGGATAAAATGGGAAATAGATACTTTCCATAGTCCTGGACTGCACACCCCCGAACAGGACCCAGCCCAAGGAGGGTAAGCACACAGGAAGGACGCACGCACATGTCACGTACGCGAGCACCACTCCACCTGCTCACCCTCATGAGGCAGGCGGCATGTTCCCACTAGCATGGGCAGCACCCAGTGCAACCACGTCCCCAGTGAGGGCCTGGTGGCCGCATGGGCCGAGCACAGCACGGGATGGGCACCCCTAGTGCCAGGATGCAGCCCTCACAGCCCAGCGCACATGGGTGAACCGGACAGGTGCAAACACCCACACCCTGCACTGCCCCAGATGTGGAGCAGACCCAGGAACCAGCCCTGAACAGTCAGTGCGTCTGCTTCGCTCCTTGCCATCAAAATTCAGCCGTGAATTCTTGCTGTGAAAGGTAGAGAAAGGGGGAATTTTCCCTTCAAACTAGACAGGCTTTGGGGGCCCTCGACAAGCTGAAGGGAGGTTCAGTGGGGACCCAGCCACCCTCCCCGGGCCTCTGCTCCCCACCTTCTCCAGATGGGGACAAACCTGATTCTCCATGAGAAAAGACCCAAGAGGGTTAAAAACGTTTTTTAAGTAAGGAGGCACTTTCTCTGCCTGTGAGCGGAAGGGCTTTTATCCCTATTGGGCGGGGCACCTGCAGGAGACCAAGGTGGAGTCAGGAGAGGGGGGAAGCCAGAAGTCATCTCTGGGACTCAACTTCCTCACTGGAAGAGTGGGAAGAATAATTTTTCTCTGCCTTTGGGTGCTTGTGAGTTCGCATGGGCTGGTGTTTCTGGAAGCCTGTGCCCCAAACAATCCCCACAACAGCTCTGTCCCCATTTCACAGGTGAGGCTGGGCCACCCAGGTAGGATGGGGTGAGCTGCCTAGCTGGGGCCCAGCTCTGCCCACACAAGGAAGCTCAGTGGCTCAGGGGGTCTAGGCCAAGAGGGCGCTGGGGCAGCCCCAGTCCTGTGTCGCCAGCCATTCCCAGAGATGCAGCCGAGCCCCTGCTCCTCCCGGGGCAGCTTTACCCCGGCCCCCCGGTGACTTCACCTTCCCCGCACACTGCGAGATTAATTTGCACAACAAATTCCCATGCAAACAAATGTCAGGCTTGTTTTTCCTCCTTTAGCGATATGTTTGACAAATATATTCTAGATTTCCAGCTGAAGCCTCTTTTCCAACTTTCTGCCTCTGTTTAAAATTAGTCCTGCAAATCAACAGTGTATCCCAGCAGGCGCTCCAGCGTGATGCTGTTCCCTGGGGAAGATTTTGCAAAATCTTTTGTAGGTTTCTTGTTTTTCAGGGAAATGAAGAAAACATGCCGTAGCCCTGGGTGCAGCGTTAAAAACGAATCCTAAGGCCGCGATGTGTGGCATTCCTGAGTGGGAACAGAGGCCTGCTGGCTGGGGAAGGCTCTTCTCTGCCCCCAGCTGCCTCTCGAGGTGCCCTCCTTCCTGGGCCCTGGCCTGGAGCCCCCAGGGTGCTGAGCCTTACAGCCCTATGTGAAAGAGGCAGCCTGGTGAGGGGAGGGCAGGAGCCAAATCGACCGCCCACGACCATCCTGGGAAAATGCAACAGGGCCATTTCCTCCCCCGCCAGGCAAGGTTAGCTAGGCAGGCAAGCAAGATGCCTGGGGTGCACGGTTTAAGGAGGTGCTCCCCTCAGGAGCCTGAGCCTGTGCACCACCTTAACCTTGGCAGGTTTCTCTCCTGCCTCCCCAGGGTGGCCTTGCCCCCCACGCCTCCCCTTTCCCAGGCTCCAGGCCCTGTCAGGGCCCTTCCCTCCACAGACCAGTGGGGGCAGTATTTTTCTCAGTCCTTGTTTCCAATCATGGCACCTTCCTGAGTCCCACCCAGAAGTTGGGGACTATGCATCCAGATGGCTTCTACGCACCAATTTGAGATGATATTTGTTGGGGGGGGGAGTTGGGGGCCCAGGGCCCTACCCCCGCTCTGCCTTCCACCTGGGGTCTCTGAGGCTTGTGGGGAGAGACGTCCCTGCCCCTGACCAGCCCTCCGAGTCCTGGCTGGCATTTGAGAGCATTGGTTCAAGGCTCAGAGGGAATGAGCAGGATTGGAGCTCAACTCCACTGTCTCTAGGTGGACAAAGGACACACGGTGAGCCTCCAGCCCCGGGAAGAAGCCCAGGGCCCACAGGGCTGTGTGTATTCTAGGGGGCTGCTCCGTGGGTGCCCAGCCTCGAGCTCTGGCCCTGCCGCTCAGCCTCTTGTGTTCAGAGTCAGGACTTGTCCCTGCAGGACGCCTGGAGTGACCAGAAGGGGCAGATCCACCTGGATTCGCAGCAGGACTACCAGCTGTTGCAGGCACAGAGGACTCCAGAAGGCCTGGTCCTGCTCTTCAAGAGGCCCTTTGGCACCTGTGACCCCAAGGATTACCTCATTGAGGTGAGTCATAGCCCCGAGGGCCCAGGAGGTCGTGGGCTGGGAGGAGCCCTCTCACGTCCCAGCCCTGGCCAGTTATGTACAGAAAGAAAGCCAAAAAGTGGTCTCTGGCGGCAAGGGGGGCACAAGGGTTTGGAGAGACAAGCCCTGCCAGCAGCCTCTGATTCCTCCCAAGACCCTCTTGGCTGACACACAGGCAACATGTTTCTAGACTTGGGTCCTGCCCCGAAGCCTCTCAAACTGGGACCGGGGTAAGCCGCTCCTGCTTCTGTCCCCCTGGTCCATCATCTTCAGGTGGAATTCTGGAAGGGACCCAGGAGCCTGGTTTCCCAGCCCGGCCCTGTGGCCCACTAGCCGGGAGGCTTGGGTCGGTCCTCTGCCTTCTTGGCGTCCCTGTGCGGCAGGCACTGGAAGGAGCCCTGGCCAGGAGCTCAGGGTCACAGCAGATCCCAACACCCCAGGCTTCTCCAGCTGCCCAAGACCGTCAGGGAGGGAAAACAACCCCCCTTGTCCTTGACAACAAAACGCTTGTAAGTCTCAGTGCCCTCTGACATCTGTCCTTGTGTAACTTTGATGTCATGGCAGTGACAGGTTGGGGGTGTGCCTGATGAGGAAACCGAGGCCGCACAGGGGAAGGACTTACCCAGGGGCACAGGGCATGGTGGGGACAGAGCTGCAGCCCAAAGTGGCCTCATGGCAGATCCCTGAGTGTTCATCCCCTCACGCACCTGCTCTGCAGGCAAGGCAAGGGCGGGCAGAAGACCGCCTCCAAGGACCTGGCAGGATATCCTGCCGATGCCCACGGGCACTTGGCTCAGCCTCCAGCCTAGGTGTGGGGGCTCCTGCCTGGAGCTCTCAGATGCCCTCTGCACATTCCCAGGTTTGCTCAGAGAGCAAATCAGCCGCCTGCCATGTACATAAACACACACACACACGGGTGTCCAGAAGACCACATACGGTATTTTCCAGATGAAAATACGTTCCCGGCAGCACGGGAGAAAGCCAGCCCCCTGCCCCTGAGTTTGCTGTGACCTCTGGCACAGCAATGGCCAGAGCTTTCTGTGTCTGTGTCCCACCCCAGAAGTCTGGGGGTGGCCGAGTGACAGCACAGCCCTGCAGGTCCAGGGTCACCAGCAAGCAGCCTCAGTTTGCTTTCTTTCACTTAAAGGGGTCTTGACTCCTCAGGCTGAGCTGTTGATGGGACCAGAGGAGATGACCGGTGATCCCGGGGGGCAGTGGACGGAGCGAATATCACAGGGGGGCCAGCCGGCCTGGTAACTGAGTGGAGGCTAAGCAATGTGGGCAAAATGCATTAGAAAGACTAAAGGCATGTGATGCCCGCATACCCTCTCGGGGGAGCTGGCCTGGGATTTCATCCCAGCAGGGTCCTCTCAGAGCCTCAAAGATCCCCTCCTTCACAGACATAAGGCCCAGGCATGTCACCTGCCAGGCAAGGGGGGCAGGGACTTGGTGGAGCCTGGTCACCGAGGAGCCCAGCTCCTTGGAGTCTGAGAGGGTGAACAACCGGGCCCTGCCTTGGCAGGATGGCACTGTCCACTTGGTGTATGGCATCCTGGATGAGCCACTCCGCCTGCTAGAGGCCATCAACACGTCCAGCCTGAAGACGGGGCTACAGAGGGTGCAGCTGCTGAAGCCTGACATCTCCGTCCCGGCCCTGCCCTCAGACTTGCACACCATGGAGATCCGGGCCCCGGACGTCCTCATTCCTGGCCAGGAGACCACGTACTGGTGCTATATCACCGAGCTTCCCGATGGCTTCTCCAGGCACCACATTGTCATGGTAGGTGGGGGCTGCGGGCAGGTCCTCTCCCCAGCTTGGCCTTCTCCCCGGGGCCCCAGGGGCCCACAGTGAGGTGTCCCTGGCCCAGGGAGCTGTCCGTGGTCCTGTCTGAACCAGGTGTCCTCTTCCCGCCTGACCCTTAGGCAGGGCCTGAGCCTCCTGCAGTCGCAGTCACTGGTGAGCCTTGTCACCTGGCTCACTCCCCACCCTCCTGGGGCCCAGCTTCCCGGCCTGGTCAAAGGCAAAGGATGGCTTGATTTCTGTGTCTTCCCCTGGGACTGGGAGGGGCTGTCTGTCAGGCCACATCCCCCTTCACAGAATAGCAGCTCAACTCAGAACCCAATCGCTCTGAACACCCACCTGGAGATACACCAGTCATGACAATAGCCGTTGGATGCCCACAGTGTGCCTGGCCCGGGGGGAGGGGCACAGGTTGCCACTCCACCACCACAACAGAGCACGCACAGGACTGGGCACCATCCCCTGTTTCCAGTAGAGCAAGTGCAGCCCAGAGAGGTTGTGTGAGTGCACGAAGTCACACAGCAGGCAGCTGGCTGGGCCCACAGCCCCACCTGTCCCCAGGGCTCAGGCTTAGCCTTGTGCAGCCATGCTCACGTGAGGACAGCTGCCTTCCCGCCCACCTCATCAGGAAACGGCTTGCCTGGGTCCTCATTCCTTCACTCTGGAGCTCTGCCTGTGCTTCTGGCAGATTCTGCCTCGTTCCAGGTTGGTGGCTCCAACTTCGGAGCCCTGAGCCACAGAAGCAACCCTGGAAATCACCTCCCTCACCTGCCCATTTTACAGATGGCGAGCAGAGGCCCACGGGGGGCTGCTGGCACGCCCCCACCAGCGGGGGTGGGCAGGCAGGGTTGGGGTGTCCGCTGCCTCAGGCTCAGCTGCCGTGGCCTCCCCCACAGTACGAGCCCATGGTCACCGAGGGCAATGAGGCCCTGGTGCACCACATGGAGGTCTTCCAGTGCGCTGCCGAGTTCGAGAGCTTCCCCCAGTTCAGTGGGCCCTGCGACTCCAAGATGAAGCCTGACCGTCTCAACTACTGCCGCCACGTGCTGGCCGCCTGGGCCCTGGGTGCCAAGGTGTGTGCCCTGCAACCCCCCTGCCGGGTCCCCGCCTGTCTCTCAGGAGCCTTTGGGGGCCCTGATGCCTCCACACCTCGGTGTCCCCCACTTCTCTGAGGGCCCCCAAGAAGGGGGCTCCCAAGGGTGCTCATGAGGCCACCAGAGAGGCCCACAGCCCAAATAACCCCGATTGCTTGTGCATTATCCACATTCCACTGCTCTTTTGAGCCACACAGACTTTTCCCAGCCTTTGTTACATCTCTATAGCAATGCTAAATGCCCCTGAGCTTAGGTTCACTGCAGGTACTGACCCCGCTTCCCCACTGGAGTTGGGGGTGCATGCACAGGGTGGACCTGGGGCTGGCGGTGCGAGGGCCTGTCGCTGCAGCCTCTGTGGGCTGCGTCTACCACGCTTCCATCAGCTTCTCCCACCAGCCCAGAGGAGGCCAGGACACAGCTGGGAAAGGGGCTCGGGCAGCAGGTGGCCTGGGGGCACCAGCTCGCCCCACTCCCTGATCCCGAGTCTAATAGGGACACCACACCGTTGGAGCCATAATGAGCTGCCCATCAGCAGGACAGTGTCGCTGTAATCCGGCTGCTCCCCAGCACCGCCCACCGTAGCTCAGCTGGGTGGGTTTGCCCGCACCCCTGTCTGGGACCCCCTTGTGATGCACCAGTCTGTCCACCTGGGCTGTGGTTCCTAAATGCCTGATACCCTTTTTTCTGCCCGCTGCAGGCCTTTTACTACCCGGAGGAAACGGGCCTTGCCTTCGGGGGCGCTGGGTCCTCCAGGTTTCTCCGCCTGGAAGTTCACTACCACAACCCACTGAGGATACAAGGTAGGGGGCGCCGGGAATGTTTCCAGGGCTGCCACCGTCTTCTCCTTTGAAACCCTGGCGCTGGGCTGCGTCCAGTCAGGAAGATAATTGACTTGTCTGTTTAGCACTGGACTTGCTCCCCAAACTCTAGCCTACTTGTTATATGACCCATTGCCGGTGCACCCCCAGTGTCTCTCCTTCACCATCCGTCTCCTAGAACTGCAGTGGGCTCCCTGGAGCAGGGCCTCAATGGGCTGGCTCAGGGCTACCCCCTCAGCCGTGGGGACTCAGTACTTCCCCACGTCTTCCTCATAAACATTGCAGCCATTGGTGTGCACTGTCCCAAGTACCATGCCCTGGGTCAGGCAGGAGCCTGCATGCCCATTTTGCAGATGAGGAAATTAAGGCCCACTGGTGAAGGACCCCCACCATGGCCATGAAGTGAGTAGGCAGGGCCAGGAGACTTGGGGTGGGGTCCCTCCCTGGCCTCAGTCGGTGGGGTCCCTCCCTGGCCTCAGTCGGCAGCCTTGCCATCCTGCAAGACTGGTTTGACTGTAAAGCTGTAAGGAATCATCTAGACATTGGGTCAGTCTGAGTAAACACAGGTCCCCCTCCCCGGCACACCTTTTTCTCATGTGGTGACGCCAGCCAGGGCCTAGGGCTAGCGTCAGTGTGCGCTGACCCCTGGGCGGGAGGTCAGTACAGAGAGGCCTCAGGCCAGAGCGCTGTCCCATGTGCTCGGTCCCCTGGAAGCCTGAGGCTGCTGCTGCCCTCATCCCCAACTGCCCCCCCATGGCTTGACTCACGGAGCAGTGTCGCTGCCCTCCCAGGAACAGGCTGGGTGAGGAGGGGGCACCTGGCAAGACAGAAGGATGGCAGGATGCAGCCCCTGCCCAGAACCCACCCTTCGTTGGGCTCACCGTGGGAGGCACTGCCCCCGGGGCTGTCCTCCGGGCTAGGGAAGAGCCCCAGCTCAAATGGGGACATTTCTGGTCATAAGCGTCCCTTCTGCTTCTCCAAACACATCACAGCAGAACGAATGCATGCCTGAGTGTGAGTGTGAGAGCATGCCTGAGTGTAAGTGTGAGTACAGGATCTTCTATCCATGTGTTTCATGTCAGGGGTGGCAGACAGGCTCCTCTAACTGACCCTCGGCCATGGCGTGGCACTTCCTGTTGGAACAGCCTGCGGGGCTGTCCCGTGCCCAGGAGGGCCAGGCTGTGGTTTACCGGTGCTACCTGTCCTGTGTGCTGGAGGGCTGGATCTTGTTTGTTCAGGGCTGTTGAGTTTTTAAGGACCCTGACACCAGCAAACACAAATCCTCATGGTTCCCTGTGCTGGATGCGGGATGGCGATGGCATCCCCTGATCAACTGTGCCAGACCTCAGGTCCAGAAAGGTGAATTATCAGGCAGGAACAGATAGCTCTGAATTGAGTGTTTGTCCCTGGGCACGTGTCCCATTGTGTCTGAGTGTTCAGGCCACAACCGTGTGTCCAATCTGGCCTAGAAGGGCCTGGGTCAGGGCAAGGGCCACTCAGGCTGACTTCCTGCTTTCCCTAGAGGTACCCGATAGCAGAGAACTTCCACTCATACGTGTTCATTGTGGGGCTTCTGTGTGACATTGTGCCAAGCCAGAGGAAGACACCTCTGTGCCCCCAGAAAGCTTGGGAAGGAGGCTGAGATGTGCGCACATATGTGAGCCAGTATGATACACACCTGCACACACACACACACACACACACACAAGGCAGGAGGGGCCAGGCCCTAGGAGGCAGATGAAGGCAAGATGTGAGATTGTATAAAAGGAGAAGTCAATGTGGCCTGGGTGGCGTTGTGGCAGCATGTGACCTGGGCATTGGAGGACAAGGAGAAGCTTCACAAGGGAAGCTGCCAGGTGCTGCATCAGATCAAGGGAATAGTCTGTGTGCAGGAAAGGATGGGGCACATGGAGAGCATGTTTCAGGAACACAGGTGGTCCTGCCTGGCTGCATTGCGGGGCATGAGAGCAGGAGCTGGGAGCAGACAGCAGGGGTTGCTGGATCGCGCTGTGCCTGAAGGTAGACAGCCAGAGTTAGTCTTTAGGGTGGTGATGCCAGTTGATGCCACATCAGAAACTGACAATACTCCCCACTCTCTGTTGCACCAGCATCTCCCACCACATAGCCACCAAGCCTTCTCTCTCTCTCTCTCCCTATTTTTAAAGACAATTATTTTCACTTGTGAGTGAGGGGCAGAAATAGCTTCAGCAATAAGAACATGACCTCCAGGCTGGGTCCCCGCCCATCCCTCCCTTGCTGTAGGACCCTGGGTGGGGAACCGAGCCTGCCTGCCTTTGCTCTAGTCCCACACATGGCCTGGGGCTGGGAAAGTGCGTGCATGCCGTGCCCCCAGCTGGGTGCGTGTCCGGAGTGGGCTCCACCAATGGCCGCCAGGGATTTTCTTCTTGGTGACATAACTAATACTTTCTGTCGCCTTGGGGATTATCTACAGCAAGCACAGAGAAGGACATAAGTCAGCTTGGGCCTTAGCAAGATACGGGATTTATTGCTCATTTAAAACCTGAAAGCAAATGGATTTCTGAAAACTCCTTAAGGGTCAGGCAAGTCTGTCTCTTCCTGATTATCTGGCTGTATTTATGGATCCTTTGCCAGATATAAGGATGCTCTGTCACTTCACAACTCTGGAGATGGGCCACTTTTCTATAAATATCAAAATTCCACAATTATTTCATTATTTAACCCCCATCTGAATTTCAACCAATTGCATCTCCCTTTTTATTATTATCCTCTGATGTAATCAGCCCAGAGATACAGAGGCTGTGTTTGGACATTGCGGGGGGAGCCTGGAGTGAGGAGCAGGGAGGCGGGGGAAGAGGGGGCGTTCTTGGCTCCCCCTTGGAGCAGAAGAGCAGAGAGGCTGCCGGGTCCCCAGTCACCGCCCTGGGCTCGGACCCAGCTAGACCACTTCACAGACTGGCCGAATGGGGAAGGGTCTTTAGCTCAGCGCTGAGCCTTAGTTTTCCTCATCTGTAAGTCAGAGAAGCGGACTCTTGGGTTAACAGGCCCTGATGCCCATCTCCCAGCTCTACCGTGCGTCCCGAGGGTTTGGGCCACGTCCAGCCCCCTCACCTCCCCACTGGAACCAGCCCGGGGCTCCTCCCCAAAGCACCCAGGGCCTCGGCTGACCCCTCCCAGGCAGGGCTAGGGCAGGGGAGCGGCCCCCAAGGCCACGTGGCTGTGTGACTGTGCCCCTGGTGAGGTGGTGCAAATGCCTGGCATAAACAGGTGTGGGAGCAGATGCGGCTGGGGGCAGGTGGGGGGTGGGCACTACCTCTGGGCTGGGGACGGCTGGGGCTTGGCATGTGAGCAAGCGCAGGGGAGGTCTGCACGCGGGCCAAAGGGGACTCCCTCGCCTCTGCCCCTCCTTCCCCCAGGCCGGCGGGACTCCTCTGGCATCCGCCTGTACTACACGGCCAAGCTGCGGCGCTATGACGCGGGGATCATGGAGCTGGGCCTGGTGTACACGCCCGTGATGGCCATCCCCCCGCAGGAGTCGGCCTACACCCTCACGGGCTACTGCACGGACAAGTGCACCCAGTTGGTGAGTGGAGCTGGGCCCACGCCGCCGGGCCCTCCACGCCTGCGCTTCCCTGCACCTGGCAGCCAAGGAAGGGCAGCTCTGGCTGACTCCCCAACCCTGGGGCCTCACAGAGGCTCCCTTTGCACACAAAGGAGACTTCCTGTTGCGCCTGTACCTCCTCTCCGGCAATAACCATGGCTCCCTCGTGGTCCACAGGGCTCGCATGTGCTGCCCTTTAAGACACACTTTCTGTGTGTAGACAGACCCCCGCTCATCCCTGAAAACGAAAGCCCCTCATCCTCCTCACCCTTCTCTCCCTGAAATGCCAATCCCTGGCCCTCTGTGTCCTTGCAGACTTGTCTCCTGTATTTTGCTACCTGCCCTTATAGGTGCTGTGCTAAAAGACAGGTTGAAAGGTAAACGTTTGCCTGTGACTTGCCTTTCCAGCAGCACATGGCATTGCCCAGCATGGGTTTTGCTTAGAGCTTCACCAGCGCTGATCCCATGGGACCAGCAAGGAACCAGGGTACAGGCTGCCGGGGCTCTGGTTCTCAGGCCACCAGGCGCAGCTGGTGCGCAGGGCAGGGCTTTGACTCTGGAGCAAAGAGTGGGGACCCAGCCTCCAGACCGTGGAAGTGCCCCCCAACATCCTGTACCTTTGCGGCTCTTTGTCCCAGCCTGCATTGACCTGTCCCCCAGCCACCCCTCCAAGGTGAAGCCCCTCAGACCTTTCTGTCTTAGAACCCCCCATCCCCTTCACTGACGGGGAGCAGGCTGCCGGGAAATCCTGGGCCACACGGGAAAACATTATATCCTGTAGGTTTCTGGAGTCTAGATTTCTAGACCGCCACACACAGAGGACATGCGAGCTTTAGTTCGAGTACATCTCGCAAACCGCCCTCTGGAAAGCCCATTCTGAAGCTTCTTCCCCCACACGGCACCGAGGGCGCCCAGATCCGCGGGCTTGCCAACGCAAAACACCAATATTTCGAGTATTTTTTCAGTCCCTTGGGAGGGAACCCTTTCTTCCGCGGTGAAGCCCCTGTTTGTACAGCTTGAAGGTCTTCCCATCTGTGTCTTGCCACCTGTTCTCCTTGTGTGTTCACGACGTTGGCCCAGTTTCCCTGGTGGGTTGGTGGCAGCACTATTGGCTTCTGGGAGTTCTTCCCATATCGTGGATGCTGTGTCAGAATCTGCCTCCCATCCCGCACCTTCGTGTCTCACAGTGACTTGCATGACAAGTGTCAGCACCCCATTTCACAGATGAGGGGACTGAGGAGAGCCAGGGTCATGATGCCAGCAGCCACAGAGTGGGGAGCCGGCCGCGGGCCCGACTCCTGAGGCTGGCGCTGTGTGAGGTGGCTGAGGGGGGGCTCACCTTCCCAGCGACTGATTCACTGCGATTTGTTCCTTACGTGAGCTCCCTGAGCCCCCACATCTTCCGTTAGCCAGGCCCGGTGACCTCAAGCTGGGGAGACACAGAACTGTCCGTCTGTGCAGGACACCTGTTTGCCTGCGTTAGGTTGCTCCTTTGTCTGAGACCAGGGGCCAAAACTCCAAGCCACACCCAGCGTCTGACACTCCTTCCGTGTCCCCCGACCTCCCGTCCAGGACATCGTTTGCCAGGTGAAAGCTCTGTGGCCCCGGCCTGGGGCTGGGCAGTGACCTCCTCAGTCACCCCACGGAGGAGTGGCCCCCGGCCAGCTTCTGCCCATGGTCGGGACCAGGCCGCTTTGACCCCCTGGCCCTGAGAATGCCTCTCACGTGGGAGGACACACCTGCCCTCTCTTGCCAGGCTCCAGTACTTTCCAGTGACAAAGTAAAACGAACTCAGCTTGCTCTTCGCTGCAGACAGCACATTCCTCCGGCAAATGCCGTTTGTGTGGAGCACTCATTGCAGGGGCTCCCAGGAGTCTGTCTCTCCTTCAGAAGACCACCTGGGGTGCATGTTCTGCAGTCAGAAGTCTGGCATGTCTAGAAAACGTCATCCAAACAGACAAGCCAGGAGAAAGCAGAGCGCTTTGGACCACAGGCCCCAGGATGGCGTTTCCCCTCCGTCATCTGGCACCTGCATCTCTGGGGTGCGAAACCCAGGGCCCCGTGTGTTAGCAGAGGATCCTGGGCCTGGCTCTCAGCTGTCACAAATGTGGCCATCAGGGTTCCATCCCCAAATCATTGCTAGGGGGCCAAAAGCTTCGATAAAGCCAAGGGCAGGGGCAGCAGCTGCTGGGGGACCAGACAGGAGGAGCAAAGGTGACATCACAGGAGCCACAGAAAGTGAGGCAGTCCGGGTGCCGTCCCCGCTGGGCAGGGAGCCAGCACGGCTGCCATTTGTCTCCCACTGGACATGAGCCCGCAGTGGGCTCGCCCTAAAGTCTGTCAGACAGACACAAAGTGAACTGACCTGCCTCCAGGGCCTGTGGAGAGGACCAGAGGGACGTGGTCTGCTGCCGAATGAGCGTCCGGGGCTGCAGGCAGGGCTGCTGCTGGTACAGGGCTGCCCCACTGAGGGCAGCTCGTTCCCTGCGAAGCCTCTGGTGTGGGGTTTGCCGTCAGGGAGAAAGATGATGTCTGGGCAGTGCAGACGTTCTGGGGAAGGCGGTCATCCTGAGGCCTGTGATCGGTGCTGGCCGCCTGCAGGAGCCAGCGGGGTGGCCCCAAGGTCAGGCCCTGACCCCTGCCCCCCGCCCTGCAGGCCTTGCCGCCCTCTGGGATCCACATCTTTGCCTCTCAGCTCCACACACACCTGACAGGGAGAAAGGTGGTCACTGTGCTGGCCCGGGACGGCCGAGAGCAGGAGGTCGTGAGCAGGGACAGCCACTACAGCCCTCACTTCCAGGTAGGGGCCCGCTGCCAGCTCCGCGTGCGGCTCCCCATGGCCCTAGACCAGCCTAGCAGTGTGGCCTCCCCCGGATGGGCTGGGACACACGCACACCCCCAAGGGTCTGGAAGGGAGGTGGCTGGGAGCTGGTGTGCAGCTCTCTGCAGCCTCCACCCTTCCTGTGCCCACCCCAGGAGATCCGCATGCTGAGGAAGGTTGTGTCTGTCTATCCGGTGAGTGCTGGGTAGGGCCAGGGGCTGGGGCACTGGGCAGTGGGGGTGGGGGCACCCCCAGAGGAAAGGCAAAGTGGTGAGGGACTGTGGGCAGGTTTTCCGGAACCATGTCCTCACAGGTAGGGGCTGGGGCCACCTGGGCTGAGGGTCCCCATACTTCACAGAACAGCCACTGAGGGGAAGGGGATGTGGGCCTCATGCCCAATGCAAACCCCAAAAGCTTTAGGGAGAGAGAAGGTGTGGAGGTCGCTGAGGGAACCCCTGGTCATGCAGAAAGGGAAGTCCAGGCCACGGGGGTGCTTGCTCAAGCTCACTCTTAGGCTGTGACATGACCAGCCAGGCTGCACAGACCCTGGCCGGCCTGCCGGTGGCCTGTGTACTAAGGGGTCATAGAAGCCACTGAGTAGTCACTCCCTGGGGACTCTGAGATTGCGCCTCACGTGTCAGGCCAGGGGCTACCATTGGGTTCCTCAGTAATGGGTTGATGACGACCTGCGTGGCAGCTCTATCACAGGTGGGCCCAGGTACAACACACCTGTTACCCCCAGATAACAGCTGTTATCTGTTGGCTTGGCTCCGCAGGGGGACGTGCTCATCACTTCCTGTACTTACAACACGGGAGACAGGAAGCTGGCCACTGTGGTAAGTCTCCCTGCCAGCTGCCCGCAGGGCACGTGCGGCCTGGGGTGTTCCGTTCAGGACCTTCTACACTTCCGTCAGGACAGGAGAGAGAAGGCAGGGGGGTCACGGAGGGGGCCCCTGGTACTTAACTCTCGCCTGGAGCGTAGGTTGCTGGGGCCAGGGGCGCCTCCCCTCATTCGGTCAGTAAACCAGCAGTTCTCAGGTTTCTGGGACCAGCAGTGTCAGATGCTCCGGGGAGCTTGGTAGAAACACAAAGCCGTAGGCTCCACTCCAGACACAGTGAGCTGGCATTTAGGCGGTGACATCCGGCATTTACGGTGTAACAACGCCCCACGTTGTTCTGACGCCTGCCTGCATTCGGGAGCCACATCTGTGAGCGTGCCTCTGCACCTGTGTGCCGGCGCTGGGGAGGAGAGCAGGGGGTTGGGCCCGTCCCAGGGGGCTCGCCAACCAGGGACGTAGGCCCACCACACCGGCTGCGAGTGACAGGACATAATGATAGAAACGAAAACCCAGGTGGGCACGTGCTGGGAGCCAGAGGCCTCGCCGCAGAGGGGACCCTCACATGGAGATGGCAGAGTGGGATGTGGCTCGGATTCATCTGGGCGGGACTGTGGATCGCCCGGGGAGATCTCTCTGGGGAGACACTCTGTTCTCAAGGCTGGGCATGCACGCAGCGCCGGGAGAGGCGGCCACGGACCGTCTCATCCAGCTGGGGCGCTCTTTTGGAACAGCGTTATTGGGATGTGATCCACACACCATACAATTCACCCATATAATGTGGGCACGTCAGCGACAGTAAGCATATTCACGGGTACGTGCAAACATCGCAGCCGGCCTTTCTTCATTGAGAAACCCAAACCCTCTAGCTGTCCCCCCGCCAGTGTCCCCGGCCCACCCTGCCCTCAGCAGCCACTGATCTCCCTTCTGTCTCTACGGACTTATCTTTCTGGACTTTCAGGTCATTGGAATCATGTGGCCCGCGGCGCACTGCGTCTGCCTTCTTTCACTCAGCATCATGTTTTGAAGGTTCATGCTATTGCGTGCGTGTCAGAACGCCATTGCTCTTTACGGCTGGTAATGCTCCAGCGCTGGGTGGGGCAGTTGTTTAGCCATTCACCCACTGATGGACACTTGGGTCGTTTCCACCTCTCATTTAGCTGTCACACCAGTCTCCAAGAAGAATCTTGTCTTTGTTTCTGCTGGTGAGAAATGAGGCTCAGAGAGGGGAGGTACTGGCTAAAGGTCACACAGTTGATACAGGCTGAGTGGGATTTATTCCAGGGCCACGTACCTGCGAAGCTCTTGCCACATGCTTCCCTCCCTCTGAATTTGGGGTGACAGCTACTCTGGATCCATGTTCATAAACTTGGGGTGTTACCAGCAGACACCAGAACAGGGTCCTCAGTTCTTGTGTTTGAGTGTTAAAAGAACTTAACACCGTGATTTAGGAATATGCGAGCAAGCAGGGCATTTTATTCGTGATGTGAGGAAACAGACACCTTGATAGACAAGGCTGGGCTGCTGGAGAGAGTCAGTCCTGAGAAGGATCAGGGCGGTTCCTATCATGGGGGGTGAAAATGTTTAGTCATTAGTTATTCGGTTACCCCGCATAAATAAGGTGGGGTCCCATGAGCACCTGCGCAGCTGGATTACATACGTCACCTCATGTACCATTAGCATATGAACTCTGCACCCAGGGGAGGGAAGTGTAGTGTTATAATGAGGACAAGGCAACTACTGGACACCAAACACCCGCTTTCCTTATGCGCACGTCACAAGTTGTTTCTGTCTTGGTTCCATTGATTACCTGACCGAGGGTCTCGAAGCCTGGTGGTGGCTCTAAAACTTTTCAAAACAATAGGTTGACATGAAAAAGAAGATGTACTGGAGCTTCACAGAGCCAGTGGTCTGGGTCACAGGCACTTTGTCAGGACACACGCATGTGCGTCCCTCCCGTTGCTGGGCAGCTGCGTCTGGGAGGTCTCTCCCTGCCCACCAGGTGAAACCTCAACCTGGGCAGGGGATGGTTTTTGACTCTGAATGAGAAATTTCTGGAAGAAGGTTGATGAGTGTAGATACGGAAGGAATTCATTAAAGTGAGAGTATCAGTGTTAGGGGAGGCAGTGTATTTTCCTCAGTTCCTGTCCCTGCTGGGACAAGGAATTGAAGGGCAGAGACACAGTAGCAAAACAGAGTAAAGGTTTTATTTAGTTACTTAAAGAGAGAAAATGCAGCAGGCAACCTCCTCAAGGAGCGGCGCCCTGAAAGGTTGGAGAGAGTTTTAAGATTAAAAGATTATGCACTTAGAAAGTGCAGGCGACCTCAGAGAGGAGCACCCCGAAAGGTTGGGAGTTCCCCCTTTTAAGGGTTTTTTCAGAATGTAACCACGGGCTGGGGGTGCAGACTTATTAAGTGGTCATTGACTGTTTAAAATTAACTTAACACAAGAAATTTACTGCTCCGATTTCTCCCTGAGATAACTGGTGTCTTGGTCTGGGAGCGGATCAAACAAGACCTCCTGCCCGGCCCCCAAAGTGGGCTGAGTTACTGTCTGTTTGCTAAAGAGTAAGTTAAGAATCTTGTTTAACTTCCTGCCTTTTGCTATGTGGTTTACCACAGGGCCTGCATGTTAAATTAGTTGCCTAAGTTGCAAATTACTTGATTAGGGCTGAAGGAAGAAAAAAAAAACAGCATATAGGTAAAGTTAAAAAATAAGCTGGGCCTGCATCATTAACACAATAGAGACATGGGCTGTGCTGAGGTGCCCCCCTTTATCTGGGGAATATTCAAATATTCCAGGCCAAGTTACTCCTGGTTTTTTGAGCTTTAACTGATTAACTCATTAACTCTGGGTCTTTTTTTTTAGTGGGCTTTCCTGGGCTTATTCTCTCTCCACCCTGCTCATATCTATTTTCCTGCCTAACAGCAGGGAATGGGAGCTCCTTGCAGGCAGCGGAGAGCAAGGGAGACCAGAAGGAGGGAGGGAGGCTGTCTGAGCTCCTGCTCAGCACAGGGCAGATCCCTGCCGACTCCTGAAGCCAGGGTCACCTGGTGCCCAGTACTAGTCTGCTTGGAACTGAGCCCCCACCACCCCAGGATTTGGGGGAGCCGCAGAGCGCTGGGTGGAGTAAGATTATGTTCTGAGAACTTCCCAAAGCAAAGAAAGGAGATTTTCGGGCAGGCTGCTAAGGAGCACGATCATATAGCCACAGTCCTGTCCAGGTCACCCAGGCGTCGGGAACTTGCAAGCACAAATAGGAGCTCTCAGCAGCCCTTCCCTACTTGTCTCAAGTAGAACAGAGAGCGTGAAGACATGTGCCTAAGTCTAGAAACATTGAATGTTTCTAGTCAAAGTAACAAAGACGCTTACCACTGGGAGAGTGCAGAGATAAGACGCAGTAAGTCGAGCAGTGAGAAGTTAAGGCAAAGTACACATTGGAAGAAAGGGGAGTGTGGGCAACCTCAGAAAGGAGGTGCCCGCAAGGGCTTAGGATTCTGTCTTTTAAGGATTTCAAGAATGGGGAAAAGGGCCAGGGGGCGCATAGGCTGACTGTGATCTCATGGTGTCTCTCTGGTGAGAGACATTATGTCATTACCTTCAGCCAGTCCCCTAGACATTCTGTAAGATGAACTTAACACGAGGAATTTATTGATCCCTTTCTCCAAGATAGTGGTTATCCTCAAGACGTGGGGTCATATCCTTTAGGACTGCTTGCCCTGTCTTAAGACAGGGTCAGTTGTTGGCTAATTACTATAAGAATGTTAGGAATCTTAGCTCCTATTATCCTGGTTTTTAAAATGGAATCTTAGTCTTAAAATGGGGTCCTGCCCGTTCTTACTATACTGTTTACATCTCAGCATTTTCATCATAGGCAGGAAACATGATGCTTGTCCCTTGTCCCCTCTGTACCTCATCAGACCCCGGGTTCTTTGAGCCAAAGCCCCGGCCCGTGTGGCCCAGCCACCCCGCACCCTGTTCTCAGCAGGCCTGCGTCCCTGCCAGGTGGGATCAAGACGGGGCAGCAGCAGCTCCCAGCAGGAAGGGAACTTCCCGGGCGTGCTGCTCAGAGACACAGGGGCCCTTGAAAGGCGACTTCCGCCCCCAGGTGAAGACAAGGGGTGGCTTCCTGGAGCAGAGCTGGCGTAAGGTGGGGGCCTTCTTTTGATGTCTGAGCTGCAGGGGCTGTAAGGAGACACCAGATTTCAAGGAGGGAGGGGGTCCTCTGATCTGCGGCCTGGCCAGGCCAGGTGATCAGAGCTGGGGTCCCCGGGCCTTGGGAAATGAGCGACCAGAACAGGTAAGCCCCGCCCCGTAGATGCCATTCCGGAGAGCCAAACAGATGACCTGGGGATTTCCTTTTCCAATGGGCCTCCTGGTGCTGAGCCTGCTCCGGGGGAGGGGGCCTGAGACGGGCACTCAGCGGGATTTCCACAGTCCTTTTGTTCTGCCATAAAACGGCAGAAGTCTTTCTTCCCTCAGACATTCCCATCAGCCAGATTACACCCCCAGACCCACAAGAGCACCCACAAAGAGCAGGGAGCCTGAGGCCAGGACCCTGCCCGTGGGGTCTGAGCTGCCTGTCCCACTGTGGGGCAGGCTCCTCCCCCAACAGCTCGGAGAACGGGGACCCAGCAGGGGCTTAAAGCCCCCATCAGGGATTTGGGGACAGGGACTCAGCACCGCTTGCTCAACGAGAAGGCAGCAGGGCTGCCCTGGGAGGTGCTGTGACAGCCCCTGGCCTCCGTCTCCTCTTCTGGAGCCACTCAGGCCTGGTTTTGAAAGTGACTGCGGGTGGCATGGGTCTGCAGGGTGCAGGGAGCGCCCTTCAGTCCTCTGTGCCCATGCTCTCATGGCAGCTGGAGGGGCTGGGAGGCTGTGCCCACTCAGGCCCTGTCCCTTCCCTTCTCCAGGACTCAGTGTCTATCCGTCAAACGGGCACACTCATTCTCCTGCTTGAAGCTCAACTCCTGACACTTATCTCCACCTGAGACGAGCTTGCCGGCTGAATTGCTGGCTGACTGGTTTGCCGTCTGTCTCTCCTGGGAAGGCGGGAAGTCCAAAGGAGCAGGCCGCTTGCTCACCTGGCACATTCCCCGGCGCTGTGCCATCAGGGAGCGAGTGCAGCGAACAACTGGAAATCCGAAAGCCGATGGCAGCACCCGTGCCCGTGAGCCCGTGCTGACCGCATCCTCTCCCCCTTGCAGGGGGGCTTTGGCATCCTGGAGGAGATGTGCGTCAACTACGTGCATTACTACCCCCAGACGCAGCTGGAGCTCTGCAAGAGTGCCGTGGACCCTGGCTTCCTGCAGAAATACTTCCACCTCATCAACAGGTGATGGCTCCCTGGGAGTGCACCCACCTGTGCCCCCTGCCCGAGGCATGGCAGGGGAACCCCAACACAGAAAGCCCTGTGCCCTGCTAGCCAGCAGGGTGGAAGTGAAGGATCAGGCCAAGGTCTGGGAGCAGGGCTAGCCTGCACACGCAGCCAGGCCTCCACTCCCCCAAACCTGTGCAGACATCACTAATCACTAATTGACACCCCCCACCCCACCATTTCCTGCTGAACCTGGACTTGGCCTGAGCACCCAGCCCTGGAGCAGCCATTCCCAGCTGACCCAAGGTGACTGGGAGATGAAGCCTGTTAGCCATCGCTGGCATGGAGGCAGGGCCACACCGCTATGTAGGGAGGCCTGATGGAGGCAGCATGGTCGGGAAGAGGTGGCCCAGAAGCCCACTCTGGGAGCTCCGCCCCATCTGCAGGGAAGTCTCCCCTGCACCCCGCTGGGCTCCCCTCCCATCTGCTTGCTGCACCCCAGACTGGGCTGTTCCTTCTCCCCGGCCAGGTTCAACAACGAGGAAGTTTGCACCTGTCCTCAGGTCTCTGTCCCCGAGCAGTTTGCCTCTGTCACCTGGAACTCCTTCAACCGAGATGTGCTCAAGGCCCTGTACGGCTTCGCCCCCATTGCTATGCACTGCAACAAGTCCTCGGCCGTCCGCTTCCAGGTGTGCCTGCCAGGTTTGGGGTGGGGGGGTCGCAGCTGGCAACACCCTCACCCCTTTCCGATGCCTGGTGGCAAGTCCTACGGCTGCCCACCCCTCTGTGCCCCAAGCCCCATGGAGGACCCCCGCTTGGGGTGACAGGGCTCTGCTCCACGGAATCGGCCAACTCCTCACTCAAAACAGAGAAAGCAGGTGGTGACAGATCAGGCCCGGAAAGACAGACAGCCTGCAGGGGGAAGAACTGATAGCACCCCAGGCAGGGCGGCTACCCCTCTTCTGGGCAATAGCACATCACAGGACTAGTCTCTCTGGTTGCTGGTTGCGAACAAGGCGCCAGCAACCTCCCCCAGAGCCTAAAAATAAGCACTGGGGGAGGGGCGGGTGGGAACCCAAACAGTCTGAAACTGCAAGCTGGTGTCACCTCCTTATCTGGGACCCGCTGGGATTCAAAAGCAGCTCATTTATTCCCTGTCAGCGGCCTCAGCCGGTGCTGAGTTAGGCGGGGAAGGCTTCTGGAAGCGTTTGGGAGCTGGATTAACCGCTAAATCCACCCTTCGCAGCACCACAGTCACGGTTAACACCGGGCTCTCCCAGACACAGGCAGGTGTCTGATGCGGCTGCGAATGCGGCATGTCAAGCAGCCTTGTCATGGCAAAAAAAGGGAGAAATGGCAAAAAAAAAGCAGCCTGCACCCAGGGACCTCCAGTTACTTTGGGTGGTGACTAAAGTGAGAATGGGCAGGGAGGTTGAGGGTCAGGGTGACTCCCAGGCAAGGACCCCCAAGTAGAACCTGGAGTGGGAGAATGGGACTTCAGTTTGGGACAAGGTGAGTGTGAGCCCCAGAGGTGGGTGGGAACCCCCTGGAAAACCCCCCAACAGACGCCAACTAAGTGGCCATCTTGCCCCTCCAGCCTCAGTTTGACCTCCTGGTCCCTTCCATGCAGGGTGAATGGAACCTGCAGCCCCTGCCTGAGATCATCTCCAAGCTGGAAGAGGCTGCCCCGCAGTGCCCAGGGAGCCTGGGTCAGAGAACTGTTGGCCCCACCCTGGTCAGCATCAGTGAGGACAGAGGTTGAGTGGGGGCCGCCTCCCCAGCCCTCCCTCCATCCCTGCGGGCTCACGCCGGCTCTCTGCATTTCCACTCTGTGAAGACCCCCATGGAACGGTTCTTTGTGCTGGAGATGAATGGGCCGCACCAAGCTCCTGCCTGAGATCCTAGTCCATGCCAGCTTTCTCCCCCGGAGGACACCCCCACGTGGCTGAGAGGGTCCCATGAGAGCTCCCAGTAGCCCCCAGGACTGCAGACCAACCCCTTCTCCACATGCTTTGACACAGCATAAGGCTAACCCGCCTGGGTGGTCGAGAGCCCAGTGCACGCAATGCCCTGCCTGACTTGCTGGGAGCAGCCGACCTTCTGGGACAACCAGCCCGGCCTGGCTGCATGCAGACTTGCCCCAAGATGGCCCTGTGTCCCCAGCCCTGTCGACCACGACCTGTGTTGGTGTGTGGCAGGCTCGCACTCTACTTAAACGTTTCCCTGAAGAGCGGCTCGTTTGTCACAGTGGGCGTCCTCCTTGCCCACGGAGGCAGGACAAGCCATTTAGCTAGTTAGAGACTTGCTAGGGGAGGTGCTCCATTGCAGGGTAAATAGATATTTTCGCCCACCTAAAGGGAAATCCTAACAACAATTCTCCCCCATCACCAAAAGATGAGGCGGCACAGATCCAGACAAGGAGCCAGGCGCCAGCTCCTCGGGGAACCAGAGGCTGAGCCCGGGCTGCCCTTCTCGGAGTGGGTGGGAAAGGTAGTAAGAGATGACTCTGGAATCACACGGCGTTAGGAGCCTGGTTCTCCAATGAGTGGAGCTGCGACTTGGGTGGGCCGTTTCCCCTCCTGACCGTTAGCTTTCTTGTCTATGAAGTGGGGCTGCTGCTGTTTGGGTTCATGAGCTAAGCTCACACGCGGCTGGCACCAATGAGAACTACTGCCAGGCAGTGCAGCCTGCACAGAAGGCCCGTCCGAGCCTCCTGCCTGTGCCAGGCACTCTGTCCACAGAAGAGCCGGAGCCCACCTTCATGCCTACTCCCCGACGAGCTGCTCCCATTTAAGGCCAAGTTCAACTATTTGACGGTTTCTGCAGGGAGTAACAGATTCAGCTCTGTTCAGCCAGTTCAGCAAAATGCCACAGCCTCTCGGGGAGGAGAGGGTGATGGATGGTCCTCCGAGTCCCTCCCCTCACCCCCCCAACAGACACAGCTAAGTGGCTGCTTCTCTTTCTGAGAGCCGCTTCATTATAGACGGGAACAAATGGGCCCAGACACTCTGCGCTGTGTCGTATAAATCGTGGCTTCCTGTGCTGTAAGTCACAGGGTGTGATTGCAGTGAAATGCCAGGACCCAACAGAGGCCAGAGAGCTGGCCAGCCCTCTGTCATCTTTACAGCCTTGGATGACGGGAGGAGGCAGCCCTCCCCTGCAGTGCAGGTCCTGGGAGGACGGCCTGGAGCATGCCCAGCCTCTGGCCTTGGGCTGCTGGCCCAAGAAGACCCCCGCCCTCTGATCATGCCCTACAGCAGCTCGGACGAAGGTCCTGGTCAGCCCAGAGCACTACGAGAGGGTGGGGCAAGACCCACGGGCCACACAAGCTTGCCTCACACCTACCAACCCTCCCTGTCACCATCACTTTGTCCCCCAAACACCCGAGAGGCTCCTGTGGTGTTCGAACATCACCAAGGAGGGAAACTGAGGTTCGCAGAGGACCAATGCCTCACCCAGGGTCCCCTGGAGAGTGAGTGGTGATCAGTGATCACATGCAGTTCCAGAACCACCTGCTCACACGGTGACAGCCCTCACCTCCCCTTCGTCACTCGCACACTCAGGCTGGTCATCCCCTTGCTCCTGGGGCCAGCCTGCTGGACTGATTCTGGAGACCACGGCCTGCCCCCTGCTGGCCTCTGCTCCGGGCTCCGACAGCCCCGCTCACTGGCTTAGGCATCCGGCGCTCCTCTTAAGAGCTGCCACAGTACGCGCACTGGTTCTGTCCTAACCGTCCCAACAAACCTACCACTTACATGCTGCTCCCGCTGCCGGATGGGGACACTGAGGCTTACACCCAAAGTTAGGTGCTGTGGTCGCCCAGGAGGAGTTGTGAGGCCCAGAAGTGCCCCCAGGTCTGTCGGACTGCAAGGTCTGGGCTCTCGGCCTCTGCTTCCTTACTTAGGAAATAGACACAGGCCTTTCAAGGCCATGGGGAGAAATGATTTGTTACCTGAAAACAATCTCAGGGCCAAGTCCCCTTAAATACTCTCCAGGCTTCCCCCTTGTCCGTACAGCAAGGGCGGTTGAAAGAGTGGTGAGGGTCTAGCAGCCTGGGTTCCCATTCCTCTCTGCTGTGTGGCCCTGGGCCAGTTGCTTTCCCTCTCTGGGCCTCTGTCCCCCATCTGCCCATTGAAGGGAAGTTTCCTCAACTTGAGAAGGGTGGGCTGCCTGGGTGACATGACCCTTCTGATATGAGGAGGGCTTAGGGGTGGGGGCTGAGGGCTGGGGCATGCGCAAGCTGCAGGTTCCCAGGTTGTGTGTCTGCCTGGGCTGTGCCCGGATGCTTCCGGCCATCTATCCAGGGGCCTTTAGCCTTTAGTCTCATGCGCTGGTTAAGCTAAATTTTAAATGAATTAAAATGACATAAACCAAAACATTCAGGTCCTTATCACAACTGCCACATTTCCAACAATCAATAGCTACATGAGGCCCACCACTGCTCCTTGGCACAGCACACTTATGGACCGGTTCTGTCATTGAGAACATTCCCCTGGGCCACGCTGCCTCAGGGCCGCAGTCCCAGACAATGTGTGCCAGCAGAGCTGCACACGCATCCTCAGAGCTCTCAGCCCTGCCCGACGGGCCGCGCGCCGCCTGGGTCTGCACAGGGCAGTGGGAGCACTTCGGGGGTGCAGGGACTTCCCCCGGAGGTATTTGGGGCAGGACCAGTCCCCAGGACTGAGGATCGTTCTGATGCAGAGGGATTGGCCTCCTCGGCCCCCAGCACAAAGGGTGAGCAGCAGTCTCCAGCCCCACCCAGCCCCGTGGCCACCAGAAATGCCCCATAGGCCTCAAAATGCCCGGTGGGCGAGGGGGCAGGCTCTGAACAGAAACCCTTTGGCCCCTCAACCGTCGCAGGACCTAGAAGCCCCCGGCCCCACCCACCCACCCTGTCGTGCAGAAGGAGGCACGAGCCCCGGGGTCCCCGGGCACCCCCACCTTCTCTCTGCCCCACTGTAGCTAAAGGCGAAGCTTCTCGGGATACTCAGTCTCCCACTTAGTGCCGCCAACCCTGCCAAGAAGCACGTCTCGGGGCACACAGGTTCTCTTTTCCCCTGAGTCTCGTCTCCCTCCCAGTATACCCACCCTCCTGCACCCACTCTTGGAGGGAGGCAGCTTCTGTGTCCTGCGGCTCCCAGACCAGAAATTTCTCTTGTTGTGGAAGAGCCCTACTGGGGACCTGGGGAGCCTTCGGGGGAAGATTCTAGACTAGACCCTGGGAAGCCCTCACTCTCTTCCGAACAGAGTGGCTAAGTCCTGGCCCCTTGAGAACCTGGTTTCAGGGGGTCTAGAAACTGTCCTCAAGCATGTTTGCTCATAAACAGAGGTCAGGACCCAGGGGGGACCCATCCCAACTGTCCCCGAGTTGGCCCTGCGGCTCCGGGTCTCCCGTCCCCAAGCCCCCTCTCCTCTGTCTCGTCTGAAGTCCTTACCCGCTGTTAGCTGTGGGCCAGGCCCTAGCACAGGCCCTGGAGATGGAACCTGAGCAAAACGTGCTGCCTCTGGGGCTCACATCCCAGAGGGGAGACGGTCAACGAGGAAAGGAGGCGGTGCAGCAGGGCAGAGGGCAGAGGGCAGAGGGCAGAGGGCAGAGGGCAGAAAGCGGTGGCTGCTAAGAAGATCAGTGGTGGGAGAGGGTGCATGTGGGGTGGCCGCAGGGACAGCCTAGCCGAGAAAGTGGCATTAGATAGAATCCTGAAGCGGGTGACAGAGTGAATCCTGTGGGTATCCGTGGAGACCTGGGAGAGGAGCCCGGAGTTAGGGTGAGGAGCAGCCGGGGGACCCACGGGCTGAGCAGACTGGGTGGGGGCCGTGGGAGATCAGAGAGGCTGGACAGAGGTGGAGGCCGCGAGGCTGGCATGGCACCAGGGGAGGGTGTGACGTGGACCAGGGAGCCTGGCAGTGGCGCTGGAGAGCTGGGTCAGGCTTCAGATACACTTAGAAGGGAGGGCCAATGAGAATAGCTGGCAAGTTCTAGAAATTGAGAGGAAGAGGCTGACAGACATCCGCACCCAGCCTTCCACACCAAGAGGCGCCCCACGGAACTCAGCTGCGGCCCTTGCCTGGGCCGGGGGCAGGGTGGGGATGCTGGCCTTGGTGACCCTCCTGTCAGAAATCAAAGCTTTGCCCTGGGCTGCCCCCGGCCCTTCCTCTTCCGAGAGGGGCTGCTCTTCAGGGGCTGGGGGTCGGGGGCAGGAGGAGGCAGTTATTCAGGGCCCTGGGGCAGTGCTAGGAGCCGCCTGGAGCCCGGGACACGTGGGGGCAGCTCAAGGGGTCCCGAGTTTGCCCAGCACTTGGAGGGTCAGCCTGTCCACAGAGGGCGACTTGGGCTTTAAGCCTTTAATCCAGGGGGATGGACGAATAAGCTGAGGGGCAGAGGCAGGCTCGGAGCGGGCGGAGGATCACAGGCCGCCCTTCCCCAGGGGTCGGCGGCGTTTTGGCTGTCGTGAGTCTCAGTGTGAAGGTGCCCCCGGCTGGTAGTGGCTGAGCTCTGCTAAGCCCTTCACCGAGAGAGCACCTGCTTCTCCCCACCACCTGCGGGATGCCCCATTCTCCCCCCCAGCTCAGAGGAGTGAGGGCTCACGGGGGTCCCAGGGCTCCTGCCGGCGGACCCTCTCCTGGCTCCCTTCTGAGGGGCCCAGAGCCGGAAGGCCTGGCTGCCCGCCTCTCTAGCAGGGACCTGGGCAGGCCGGGCTGGCAGTCCTCGGCCCTGTGGCCTCTTCAGGCATCGTCCCATGGGAGGGGGATGAGATGAGCACCCCGGCTCCATGCGGGCCAGACAGCGCTTCCATGGAAGCAGGGGGCATCCTCGGCAGGCAGGGGCCCCACTGGGGGTGTCCCCAAGCCGAGGCGGAGCTGGGGAGCATGAGGGCTGTGCCCCCACCTCCCCTTTGCAGATGGGGTAGCTGAAGCCCAGAGGGGTAAGACACTGCCCAGGTCACATGGCGGGTCAGGCCACCCCAGGACCTCAGCACATGACAGGCCCCTTGTCCCCAAGCCCTCAGTGTGTCTCTGGGGCCTCTCCTTTCCCAGATGCTTTTGTTACCACTTTCATCGGCTGTGCTAAGGGAGGTGGGCCCTGTGCCGGCCCCACGCCTTTGGACGTCTCGGAACCATGTGGAGTGGGAGTCCCAGTGCCCGGGCCCTGTTCCTCACTGAGAGGTGAGCACCCCGTCCCTGCCGGCTGGGTTCCTCCCTGCCCTCCAGGCGAAAACCAGAGGCCGTGCACTG